AAAAAAATCGAACATAAAAACAATGAATAGACCTCAAAACTCCATAAAAACAAATCAATGCAGAAAAAATCGAACAGCAAAAACCCTAGGGAGATTCACATAACCACAGCGCAAACAGAAATTCCTTAAGCAGACTATATACAGCAAATTTCATTACCCTTTTTCAAAAAAAAAAAAATAAAAATAAAAATAAAAAAACAAAAAATTACCAGTAGTGAGAGCTTTAATCAGCGCATTGCGCCTCCCCTTGAAATCTCTGAAAACCTCCTCCACCGTGCGAGGGTTGTGCGCGCCTCCTTCCATGGCTGCTCCGTACGCGCAGGAACACGCTTCAGTGTGTGCTGTTCTTCTTCAGCAATGGTTTCAAAAATAAATAAGGGGGCCAAAAGAGGGGGATGTTGTGGGAGCAGAAGTGGAATTCGTAGTTTCTGTGGGGGCCTTTTGGGAAATAGTGAGGAGTTCTTTGCGAATGGATAGGACTCTTTGGTGAAACTTGAAAGGGAAAGAAATTTGACCTCCTAAAGAAAAGAAATATAATAATCTCTCTCTAGATTGTAGACTATTTGATGATTAATTAACTATTATCTAATTATCTGATTTCGAAAAATTGAGTCAATTTGGGTGATATATTTGAGATAAGAATTTCAATCTTAAAAAAATAAATAAATTAATAAAGGGTCTTCTAAAATTACTAAAACTAATAAATACAGTTTTTTTTATTATTATTATTTTTGTTGTTTCATTTTTCAAATATCGTTTTAAGTTAGACTTTTTACTTTTAGTTATAGTTATTTCCATCATTCTAGATAATTATTTCAACTTTTTATACAATATATTTTAAAACAATTCATAATTATAAGCATAGTTTTGAGACTCAGACCGGCCTTACGAGTCGACCCGGGACCAGTCGACTCGGAGTCGGAACCTGTCCGGGTGGGCTATTTGGACCGAGCAACAATGGAACCGGTCAAAACACCCGCCAACCCGCCATTGACCCGGTCGACCCGGGGCATTGACCCGGTTGGGCGAACCCGGTTGACTCGGCCCCTAATTATTTTTTTATTTTTTAAAAATATTTTTTGTTTTTAAAGAATAAATCTATGTATATATATATATATATATAT